TCACTCACTGGATATCCAGTTTCGGTGTTCCAGCTACCCTTACGACTGACTGCGTACGTCACTTTCAATCCAACTTCTTCCGTGAGTTCACCAAACTCCTCGAGTGCGCGCACACCACAACCACTGCATACCACTTTGCTTCAAACGGCCTGGCGGAGCGTCTGCGTCGCCACTATAAGTCGGCGCTGATGTCATACCCTGATCCAACCTCTATCACTTGCTTACTATGTCCGACTCGAAACAATTGCCCAATGTTTCTGCAAATTTCGCCGTGACAGTGTCCTCTCCTTGCATGAATTCTGGCAAAGTCCGCCGGTAATTTATCCCATCCGAATTGAGTCGGCTTCTTATACGGTAACGTTACCAGTAAGCTGGCGAAATTGCACAAATTGATGAAAGCTCTTCTCCCAAGTTCGGTAAGCTCAATCCTTTTCTATTAAGTATGCCCAAAAATGCACCTATTCGGAGTTGAGGGCGGAGATCCTTTGCTTTAATCCCGTATGTGACTGTCAACAGTTGGTTAAGGAGGAATCTCTGGATGACAGGAGATCCTTGGACATTCTCAGTCGATTATGGTTTCTACTTGAAGATGTGCAGACCGACTTGAGGATTTTCAAGGACGCTTTTGTAGAAGGCCTCACTACGGCTGTCCAAACAATGCTTCCGTCCGGCTCAGATGACCCATCAGTCTCTAAACGCCCAGAGCTGGCTGAACGAATGACAAATGCCCTTATCTTTGCGCCACCAGCGATCTCCAGTACTTCTCAGCCTTCGACCTTTCATCGCAAAGGGATTCAGCCAGCGCTCCCTGTGTTGTCTGTAACCGTAGCGGTCTACCGGTGTACTTGTGTCCCTCTCGGCATAAATCGCCGAAACACTTGTTTTCACCTGCGCACAACCGACACCTGCTGGTACAGAGCAAACCCAGCGCTAAAGCTCGTCGTTATGCTCCATTCTGCTTATTCTGGTCTGTGAAAGGAAACCTCCGGACAGAAAATAATTGCAACCCATATATCCGGCCTCCCTGGTACAGTTCGTATCATCTGCGTCTGGTACCATCGGACGTGCACACTATCCCTTGTCGACATTTGTGCGCAGCTGCATTTCTTTTCTCTGTCTCTCATTCTGAAAGCAGCCAATTATTAGTCCACGGAAATTGGCGTCCTCCTTAATTTCGTCAACCATTTCTTACCACACACTTTCTGTGGACACTGGTCTCCGGTGCTTCTTACCTCGGCATCCTCTCCATTGCTGGCGTCCTCTGTATCATCCCTGGTGCAGACGGCCTCGTCAAAGTACCAACTGTCAGCAGTCCCATCAAAAGAACCCAACCAACCGGAATATCCCTTCCTCTGAGGTGTTCTGCCACTTAACTGTGCTGGAACCTGATTCAGATAGTCGATTTTTGCTGTTTCCCTCCAACTACTCCTGCCTCATCCATCCCGTTCCCAACGCTTCTGTTTTACAACATGATTATGTGCATCGCATCCACATCATTGGCTCATTCGTGTTCCTCAGCCCCGCTATCCCGCCTTTTCACATCTTCCAGAGAGCATATGATCCATATGGACGTCATCCATCAGCCTCTGGACGTCGTTTTTTGCATG